AGTCCCCCTTGGGGGATGCCTCATTTAAATATATTCATGCATTGACTTTCTCCTTCCAATCACTCCTACCATAAACATAAAGCAAGAAAACACCCAAGAATGTTAAACACCTCAGTCTGTAATGGGATTAGAGCATCTGTAAGGTGTAAAAAATGATTTCATTGTTTCCTATAAACTTTTCCTCACCAGAAAGGGCCTCAGTCAAGATGTAGAAAGCAGCTTTTTAACCGGCATATATTAAATCTGACAAACATCTGTTCAATCAAATTTACAGCAATACACAGGGTCTAATAAAGGTTTATTTCTTCTTGAAGAACAAATTTAAAGATTTTTTTAAAAGGCTACATATGTTCTCCTGTTGAATATTTCTCTCTATAAATAGAAATAGGTCTCAGATTCTTAACAGGTTTATTTCTTCTTGAAGTTAATGAGTTTTGTGTTTTATAAACTGTATGGATAAACCACGCATTAGCCTTTATCCAACATTAAACTGCAAGTATTAGCACTGAAATATTGTCATCGATAGGGAAAATATTTATTCTTTGAGTCCTCGTTACTGAAATAGTTTAGTGTAAGGAGCTGTCTGCAGTTTATTCTACTTTACCCTTTAAGGATGAATAGCCCAATGTACAGTGTTCCATATCATTAGATGGAACATGGAAGCCATTGTCTAATCCACTCTCTCATTAGTTACTTGATGTCTCATACCTAAATTTTGTAATGATTTTTCTTCTGTGTTACAAAAACTTAAATACGTATTAGGTGCACGTCAATCTTTTGCCTTGCGTTTTAGGTTCAGAGTATGACTTGTGTGAAATAAATGTGCCTATCCTTTTGTTTGATTTTTGCACTATAAAAATAAAGTGATTTTTTTTCATATGTCACTGACCTCCCAGTTGGGACTATTAGCAATAAAATCATCCATATGGTTGGATGCCGAAGGTACAGAAATTAGGGAGAACTCATAGTAGACAGAAGCTGTGATTTAAAAGGAAATTAATGTACAGTACTGATCCAGCTTTTCAATTTTCCATAGTATATTAGTCCAAATTAGCATTGATGATTTAAATGTGCTAGTATCTAAATTTTTACCCCATTTCCTATTCCTAGGACTTGCTAGAGTCCCTAACAATACTAGCTTATTTGATGTTTTTCCTTGTTAGCCTACCTTATGAAGTTGTCTGGCCCTGCATTGGTTAAACATCAGGGAAGAAAAGAAGGGAACTTGAAATAATTCACCGATTAAGTAGACAATTCTCAAATAATCAAAACTGGGCACATAGAGACAAGGCTGAGCATGTCCTCTCACGTTTGTGCTGGCAATTGAATGACCCAGATAGGAAACAAAAGTGAAACCACACAACCCAAAAAACCTCCTTATTGAGGATTCAGGCTTTATTTAATAGCAGTAACCACCCTCACAAGGATAAGACACAGTTTTTACCTTTTATACCCATACTGGATATGTCTGTTACATCGGTTGTCTTTTATAAATCATTTTAAGTTTTGATCTCTTTCATATGGTACATAATTAAAGTGAGTATTGGCCATACTTAAAGTAGTTTCTCACTGAAATGAATTGGTGGCAAACAATAAACATAATACTTAAAAACCATAATTAACTTTACCTTGCTTTTCTGCCTCTGTCACTTGTCAATTCATGTGCATTTTACTTCTACATATGACTTACCCAAGAAGTTTGGAGGATGAATTGATTATCTTTTCATTACACATTTATTTAGTACCTGGAATGTGCTAGGAATAGAAAGCAAATAGCATCCCTGCCCTTCAGGAGCTCATGGACACAGATAGCAGGGGAACATAACTGTTAACAAGCTGTTTCAAGAAAGTTAATAGTGATATCTGCACATTTATTTTAAAAATACACATACATTAAAGTGAATCCGGCACACAATTCCCTAGAAGTTTCCTTTAACATTGGTATTTGAAAAGCTCTGAAGTGCTTTTTTATACTGAGCTCCTGCAATCCAAGTAGTAGTTGATTTGCATACTAAAACATGATGTGGAAAAACATTGATCCTAACTGGTATGTGACTGAACAAACAGATCACCCTGATGCTTAAGCTCACTTAGCATTGGTATGACTATTGACTCTTGTTTGATAACCTTATTTTGGGTTTTAGTTGTCAAGAGTTGGTTATGGCTAAAAACAGATAGCAGGTAACCAGTCCCTAATATTAATGTAGATATAATTGTCTGCAAATGTTGTAGGTTTAGATTTATAAAGAAATAAGGAGTAGTATCTTGCCTTCAGGAAGTTCTCAGTCAACTCTGAAGACAGATGTGAAATATATCCAGTACAGTGGTAAAAGCTGTCCAAAATGCTACAATAGCTAAAGGAGAGAAATAACTTCATAAGAGGAGGTTGTCAAAGAAATTTCCTTAGAACTAATGGCATCTGAATCAAGCTTTAGTTTGGGAACTTCCAGCCAAGAAGCAGTAGGACCTTGCAGAGGTGTTGGTAGAGGATGGAAGGAACATGTGAAAACCACAAGGAGTTTGGCACTATTAAGGCAGGAAGGATAATGTGAGGGATTGGAAAAGATAGGCAGGAACCTAGTGGTGAAGGCAGCAGCATGACTTGTCTGGTAGCATGCTAGAGGATTTTAGGAGTTTGATGTGAGTTTGGATTTTTGTCTTATGCTGACAGAAGTACAGAGGGTCAGTTGTAAAGACTGAAATAGGGATACCAGTTAGAAAATTGTGAAAGCTTAAGGGGTAAAGGGATAATTAAGTCGTGGTAATTAATATAGAAAGGAAGGTACGGAGTTTCTGTCTTCTAGGAAATAGCATTGACATGACTGGACAGGAGAAAAGGAAAATATAGAAGATACCAGTTTCTGGCCTTTGGCTTGAATAGCAGAGCTGTTGGGAAAATAACCTAAGCTGAGCAGGCTTTAGTGGGACACAGGTCCATTCGAAATATCAAGTTTGGTGGTGTCCTTGAGATTTCCCTGTGGATGTGTTAAGATGAGGTTTCTAAAGCATGAAATCAACTAAAGCCATGGTTGACTAATTATAAGCTAGTAGAAAAACAACTTCCCTTCAAAAGCATCAAATTTTTTTTGCTATAAAAGTAAAGCAATAAATGAAAGTAAACTCAGCTTTGACAGAATAAGATTTTTTTTAAAAAAAAGCCCTTTGAGCATAGTTAGCCCTTTGAGCATAGTTATTAATCAGCAAATAGTTGCATACATTCAAAATGCAGGGGTAAAAGATAAGAATATTGTCACTTTTGTTATTGAGCTTTCAAGAATTTACTGCCCATGAGACACTGATCTGAATTATTGGTAGCAATAATTTTTGGTATTTGCAGTAAGACCCTTCAAGAGGTGAGTAAGAGAGTGTGTGTGTATGTATGTGTGCGTGCATGTGGATATGTAGTAAACAACCGCATAGCTTAAAGTGAAGTTTGCTGTATGAGAAACCCCAGTGAGCGAATAACATTATCATTAGAAAATAGCTACTTGCTCTGACAAATAATTACGGCAGGAGAGTAGAAAACAATATTGGGTGGGGTTCCCCCACCTTTTACTCATAATTCCTTGGACTTTTCTAGGTCCATATCCCACCCAATGCTCCAACACAATCCACTTCTAGGTCTTTTTGGACAGTGTTACTTCAACTTGAAAGCCTT